TCGCGCAGTCGGGTCGCGCAGTCGGGTCTTGTGTGGGGTCAGAATCTGGACTTAAGTAGGATCAGATTCTGGCCTTAATGGAGTCAGACTCTGGTCTTTGGTGTAGTCAGACTCTGGTCTTTGGTGTAGTCAGACTCTGGTCTTTGGTGTAGTCAGACTCTGGTCTTAGGTGTAGTCAGACTCTGGTCTTTGGTGTAGTCAGACTCTGGTCTTAGGTGTAGTCAGACTCTGGTCTTAGGTGTAGTCAGACTCTGGTCTTAGTGTAGTCAGTAGTCAGACTCTGGTCTTTGGTGTAGTCAGACTCTGGTCTTAGGTGTAGTCAGACTCTGGTCTTTGGTGTAGTCAGACTCTGGTCTTAGGTGTAGTCAGACTCTGGTCTTTGGTGTAGTCAGACTCTGGTCTTAGGTGTAGTCAGACTCTGGTCTTTGGTGTAGTCAGACTCTGGTCTTTGGTGTAGTCAGACTCTGGTCTTTGGTTTAGTCAGACTCTGGTCTTAGGTGTAGTCAGACTCTGGTCTTAGGTGTAGTCAGACTCTGGTCTTTGGTTTGGTGTAGTCAGACTCTGGTCTTAGGTGTAGTCAGACTCTGGTCTTTGGTGTAGTCAGACTCTGGTCTTAGGTGTAGTCAGACTCTGGTCTTAGGTGTAGTCAGACTCTGGTCTTTGGTGTTAGTCAGACTCTGGTCTTTGGTGTAGTCAGACTCTGGTCTTTGGTGTAGTCAGACTCTGGTCTTTGGTGTAGTCAGACTCTGGTCTTTGGTGTAGTCAGACTCTGGTCTTTGGTGTAGTCAGACTCTGGTCTTTGGTGTAGTCAGACTCTGGTCTTTGGTGTAGTCAGACTCTGGTCTTAGGTGTAGTCAGACTCTGGTCTTAGGTGTAGTCAGACTCTGGTCTTTGGTGTAGTCAGACTCTGGTCTTTGGTGTAGTCAGACTCTGGTCTTAGGTGTAGTCAGACTCTGGTCTTTGGTTTAGTCAGACTCTGGTCTTTGGTGTAGTCAGACTCTGGTCTTTGGTGTAGTCAGACTCTGGTCTTTGGTGTAGTCAGACTCTGGTCTTAGGTGTAGTCAGACTCTGGTCTTAAGTAGGATCAGACTTTGGTCTTACGTGGGGTCAGACTCTGGTCTTAGGTCGGATTAGACAGTCGGGCCTTAAGGCACATTCTGTTGTGTTTGGGACTCGGGGAAAACCCACCTCCACCTTGAGGAAGTGCAGTGGAATGAGTCAAACTGAGGTTCTGAAACACAAACTGGGGCTGGACTGGAGCAGCGTCTGTTGAGTTTATGTCACAGGACAAAGTGCCAGAGCTCACAGTGACACACAAAGCCTTTATAGAACATTACAGTTGTATGAATGGCCACTTCTGCTAATGTTACACCAACACACATTTTAAGTTTTGTGATAATCTATGTTGCTTGAAGGAACAAAATGATACTTACATCACGCCCTGTTTCTGCTGAGTCATAGTCCTGGAGTAGTTTGTAGTTTCAGACTCTGGCCTCAGTTAGGGTCAGACTCTGACCTTAGGTGGGGTCAGACACTTAAGTATTATCATGTAATACCTTATACAAGTCAAATACACCGTCTCTAGTAACTGAAGGATCAATCATTTTGGACCAAAGATCACGATCTCAGACAACATGATTTTGGGAGCATCAAAGGTGTGTTTTTTTGCAGTTCTCCTAAAGCCCAATTTATGGATTTATGGATCTGCATCAAGGTCTATGCGCCGCAAAGTAATTCACCGCTACAATGCGATGAGACTACGATTTAAACCTGGCGTAAATTTGAACATGAACCATCTCCAACGCGACAGAAGCACAGAACAGACTCACCATCAGCAGAACACCCCTCTGTCACAGAAACAACACTCATATTCCACTGAGTCGTGTCCTTTAGTCCCACAGAAAAGCTGAACCGCATCAGCGCACAAGGAGCGAGCCGTTTTTTTCAGCGCTTATAGTACTTATACTTATAGTAAGTTTTGTTTCTGTAAAACGTAAACAAATGTGCGCAAAGCTGCATTAAACACATGACACGATTTGACACTGGACCGTAAATTGGACCAGCGTCAAATCATCGTTGCAGGACTCTGTTGTGAAATTTCTGTGATGTTTGCAAATGTTCACGTGCACTGAAACTTGATTTGAAAAAAAAAAAAAATCTCGGATGAAATGGAAATCTCAATATCTGCCAGAGAATTCTTAAAATCATTTTTGCCCTAAATCCGACCATCAAATTTGGGAGAACTTGTTATTTCGATCCTGAGCTCTGGTCTCATTTTCCTCCTGATACTTGTGGTCAGACAGTCTGTGGTCGGGGTCAGACTCAGGCCTTTGGTTTGGGTCAGACAGTCTGTGGTCAGGGTCAGACTCTGGCCTTCGTTTTGGGTCAGACAGTCTGTGGTCAGGGTCAGACTCGGGCCTTTGGTTTGGGTCAGACAGTCTGTGGACGTGGTCAATAGTTCCGCATGAGCTTTGGTCCGTCCTCTTCCTCTAATGGGCACAGTTCAATACAGAACATGTGGGACTGGACCTGTCACTGTAGGCTCCATTAGCTCTAATAATTCTGCATTTATCGACGCATAGAGAACGTAAAAAAAGGGGCAAAGCAAAGCAATAACAGTATAAAAGAAGTATTTGACGGACCATCCACCAGAGAAGTTACACAATGCACCTTCAACGTGTTTATACATAGTTTTCAGCAAATATCACATTTTCAAAACATTAAAAAGTCAACACGGAGATCTAAATATGCTCTTTGTTATCAGTTAATACCCGAAGACGTAAAATAACCCATCTTTAGTAAAAAAATTGCACCGTCAAAACTGGGAGAACTTGTTTTTTCGACACTGAGATCTGGTCTCGTTTTCCTCCTCGCGCATTGTACAGGAACATTGTCTCCGCAGGACACACAGGAGAGAGAGAGAGTGTGTGTGCGTGTGTGTGTGTGTGTGTGTGTCTGTGTGTGTGTGTGGTGCAGCCTTGGGGCCTGACCTTGTAGTTGACACAGTGATAAAAGTTGTATTAGACGTGCTTGGGTTACCTCTGAATGTGATCCTCCTGCAGCCTCTCCTCGTCTCACCCGCGGACTGTACGAGTGAAAAGAAGTGAACTGAGGAGAGTGTGATGTTAATGACAGACTGTACTAGAGAAAAAAGTGAACAGGGAGTGACTTTACTAGTGAAAAAGTGAAATGAGGGAGTGACTTTACTAGTGAAAAAGTGAACTGAGGGAGTGTGACAGCATCCAAAGACTGTACTAGTGAAAAGAAGTGAACTCAGGGAACGACTGTACTACTGAAAAAAGTGAACAGGGAGTGACTTTACTAGTGAAAAAGTGAAATGAGGGAGTGACTTTACTAGTGACAAGAAGGCTGCGTTCAGACTGCAGCCTGAAGTGACCCAAATCTGATTTTTTGGCTTCTATGTTCCTGTATCCGATCTTTTAGTGACAGTCTGAACGGCACAGATCCGAATTTTTCAAATGTGACCCAGGACACTTGGATATGTGCTCCTGAATCCGATACATATCTGATCTTTTGACATGCGACTTCAGTCTGAACGGCCAAAGCGCATCCATCCGACCTACACGTCATTAACAAGCGACAAACGTCACTATTCTGCGCTGAAGCAGGCGGAAACCGGAACTGTAAAATCTCCAGGTGCTCAATGCTCGCGACCATATTTGGACAACTTCCGTAAACACAGAGACGCTCGCTGCGGTTGACGCATGGGGTTGACGTCATCGTGTCTCCAGTGTCACATGCGGGACACTTTCGGGCCGTTTACCGTTCACACTGAAGTCACAGACAAGTCGCATTTAATTGGAAATGTGAACGACCTCGCAAAAACATCGGATTTCACAAAAAAATCTGAATTGAGCATTAAGCCCTGCAGTCTGAACGTAGCCGAAGTGAACTGAGGGACTGTGACGTCACCTGCAGACTGTACTAGTGTAAAAAGTGATCAGGGAGTGACTGTCCTAGTGAAGAAAAGTGAACTGAGGGAACAACTGTACTAGTGAAAAGAACTGCGGGAGTGTGACATCACCCACAGTGTCCGGCTCCAGTCAAATGAAGCTCATCGAAGCTGCAGTTATAGGAGAGAATTTGGATCAGTGTGCCGTATTTGGAATATTAATTTATTTATGGACAAAATAGCAAAATAAAAACCCCAGCATCATGTTAATACAAATGTTTTAAGACAAAAATAATGAGGCTCACTGCAGCAGTTACAGAGACACGGGCGATTGTTTTTCAGTGTAAAGTGAACTGGAGCCAGAGTCAATGGAGCCGGAAGCGCGCCCATTAGGGTTATAACTTTTTGAACTGTCCTGCATCATGATTGGACGAACTCTTTGGTATAATTGAAGAAACCAAACTCCATTTTCAACACTCTTTTAAAAAAGTTCCCCCGAAACAAAAAAATATTAAATCCACATTACAGCCGATGATCTGAAACGTGAAACCGAGTTAAGTTCTCACAAGGATCATTACAAGTCAATGTGACTGAAAATGGATCAATAATAAGTTGTACTGCATCATAATAAACTGGAGTTTTACTTTCTATTCTTGTTTCACTTTATAAACCAACAAACCAACACTGACAATCATCATTTTTGGACTTTTAGTTTCCTATTTTATCTGATCTTTACCCTGATCATGTGTTTTGTTCCTGTGTGATTAAAGAGAAAATTGCCTTTGGTTCTTTTATGATTGAAGATATGAACCTTCTAACTGTTTTATTCTGGTTGTTGTTTTACCAAAACTTCATTTTGAGTCCGGGGGAGACTTTTTTCAAAAATATGACCAACTGAAGGTCAATTCCTTTTATTACTAAGAAAAGTTCATGAAAATATGACACAGGGTGTAGAGGCTGTAAAAAAGTTATAACACTGGTGCCCATGAACACTTCCTGTTTGGACTGAGGCGGCGAGCGAGTTCACTGTGTCCGTTTATAAAAACAGTCTATGGTCTAACTTTGTTTTCTCTTTCTCTCTCTGCAGCGACGTGGGTGGGCGGCGGCTTCATCGTGGGCACGGCGGAGGCGGTCTATAACCCGTCCATGGGGCTGATCTGGGCCGTCATGCCCATCTCCGCCACGCTCTGCTTCGTCATCGGTGAGTATCGGCTCCACGCGGAGCTCTGCTGGTTTACAAGACTCATTTTCTCATTTCTACAAAACAACTGTGATATTTTTCATTTCTCTATAAAACTCCCATCTCTGTTTGAATTAGAAATACACCGATCCAGCTTTTTCAGTTCCGATACTGGTATTGATACTTTGGCTTTTGGTGTCTGTTGATATCTGTGAGACAATCCAGCACATTGTCCTGGATCGGTGCAAATATTCAATCCGTGTGTCATTCATTCATTTGTTTTTCAATATAAAACCAAAAATAAGAAAATGAAAAAACAACAGTTTTCTTCATTATTTGTCTCCAAAACCAAAATGAAAAAACAGATAAAAAACAAACAAACAGATAACAGCCGTTTCCCGTTTACCTAACTTCTGTGACTTCGATGTCGAACTTTTGCACCGAATACGAACTGAACCAAGGACTGAACCAGGACTGAACCAGGACTGAACCAGGTCCAGGACCAGAGCAGACTCCGAGCTTTGACTCCGAGCCTCCGCAGGGTCCGAGCCTCAGCTTCGAGCTCTGGTCTGGTCCCAGTCAGGTCCTGGTCTGGTCCAGTCTGGTCCCGCTCTGGTCCCGGTCTGGTCCCGGTCTGGTCCCAGTCTCAGTCCTGGTCTGGTTCCGGTCTGGTCCCGGACCTGGATCAGTCCTGGTTCAGTCCGGCATCGCAGTTTAAGTCACGTAATCGGGAAATGGTCGTTATCGTTGTTTTTTTTCCATTTTTCATTTAAACACAAAATCGATGGTTTTGGAGACAAATAATGAAGAAAATAGTTTTTTTTTTTCATTTTCTTATTTTTGGTTTTATATCGAAAAATGAATGAACGAATGGCACATGGATTATATTTGATGTATCGGTATCATTGCGTCCTTAAATTGAATAACTTTTTTTTTTTTTACAAAATACACTCCATAAATATGCTGGACGACGTACAGATCGGTGGGTTTAAGCGATATATCGATCCAGTATCGTTATTTGTAGTTGCCGACTGAAATGTGAATTCCAGCTTCCAAAAACTGTTGCAATGAGAAGTGCTTTTTCCCCTCAAACCGTCATTTTTCACATTTTCCGCTCTCCCTGGTTTGTCGAACAGTAAATAGTCGAGGCTTTTTCTTTTAACGTTGTTTTTACAAACTTCGTTTTTCAGACGGATGCGTGTTTCACTCATGACCTCAGCTCTTCTCTGGACACGTCAAGCTTCTGTTTTCGGCGTAGAGTTTGCGCTTTCGTCTTTTTGAAACCCCTTCACAATAAGACCGCGTCAGTACCTCGTGAGCGCGGAAGGTTTTATTTTGAAAGAGCCGCAGGAAGTTGTAACTGAAGGCGACGTGAGAGTTTTCCTCGGTCCGACATGAAACAAAACAGAGAAGAGGCGCACGGAAAGAACAATAATATAAACATTTACTGAAGATAAACAAGAGTGACGTTTATGAAGTGCTCGGCTCCAAACTCCAAACTCGCCCACGGACTTTCACTGACACGGCAGAAAACACCTCCTCCTGATTTAAGACGCTCACGATCACGACTGTCTCCATAAATGTTGACTTACTTTTCTAAATTTTTATTACCTAATTTTTGTCCCCAAACACAATAATGAAAAGATAAACCAAAGAATCCCATTAGAATTTACGGTCAGGTTTAATTCTCAGAGATTTAAAGTGTGATTAAACACCTAAACTCTGCCCACAAACACTTTTCAAACAGAGCTTCTTCAAAAAATGGCCAAAAAATAACTTTTGAAAAACATATACACAGTTTTTTTTAGTATTTAGTTCCACGTTAAAGGTTCCACTTTAAACAAACGTGACTCTTGTGAGCTTTAAATCAGGTTCTAATGTTGTTCCCTCCTCAAAAAAACACAACTCCAGGTCTGTTTGAATCCGTGTGTCGTTCGTTCATTTGTTTTTCAAAATAAAAGCAAAAATAAGAAAATAAAAAAATAAATGTTTTCTTCATAATTTGTCTCCAAAACCAAAATGAAAAACCAGAAAATGATTCGTTTTTTCAGTTTTTGTTAAAATGGAAAATGGAAAAAACAGATAATGGATTTAACCAGGACTAAACCAGGACTAAACCAGGATTAAACCAGGACTAAACCAGGACTAAACTAGGACTAAACTGTTTTCAGTCCTGGTCTGGTCCCGGTTTGGTCCCGTCTCAGTCCCGGTCTTAATCACAGCCTGGTCTCAATCCTGGTCTGGTGCTGGTCTAAGTCCTGGTCTCAGTCCCGGTCTGGTTCCGGTCTGATTGGACCTGGTTCAGTCCTGGTCTCAGTTCCGATCTCAGTCCTGGTCCTGTTCCCTGTCTCAGTCCTGGTCTCAGTCACGGTCTGGTCCCGGACTCAGTCCCGGGCTCAGTCCTGGTCCTGGTCTAAGTCCTGGTCTCAGTCCCGATCTGGTTCCAGTCTGATCGGACCTGGTTCAGTCCTGGTTCAGTCCTGGTTCAGTCCTGGTTCAGTCACAGTTTAAGTCATGTAAACGGTCATTATCCCTTTTTTCAATTTTTCATTTAAACACAAAATCGAAAACTGAAAAAATGAATCATTATCTGTTTGTTCATTTTGGTTTCGGAGACAAATAATGAAGAAAATCTTTGTTTTTTCATTTTCTTATTTTTGGTTTTATTTTGAAAATCAAATGAATGAACGACACACAGATTCAGTTTGTGTTGAGGAAACATTAGATCAGAAAACGTGTCCAGACCTTCACTCTGGACCCTCGTCTCCTCGGACTCGCCCGCGGCGTTTGGCGAGGAGGTCAGGGCGTCCGTGGAGAGCAGGCGGAGCGGGCGGAGCGGGGCAGAGCGGGCAGGGCGGGTGGAGTGCTGCCTGGACGCTGCTCCACATCCTGAAGCCTGAATAATTGAAAACGCCACATTTGTCCCGGGGTTTGTGTAAATAATAGAACCGCGCTAAAGGAGGACAGACTGTTCTCTGCTCACGTCCACGTCACCAAACACACGAAACACACGAAAACAAACGCACCTGTGTGCAGAGGAACCTGCAGGGGGCGCCGCTACGCTCCTGTGAACTCAAACGGATCAGCGATTATTGACTAAATATTTCACTCTGATCTGTTCTGATGTCGTTTCCTCGTCACAAACAAACCTGGAGCTTTGTTTTGTTTCATTCAAACATGTTTAACTCACAAACTCTGCACATTTAATGTTCAGTGTTGGGAGTAACAGATTACATGTACCAGAGTAATCAGAGTACAAATGATGAGTAACTGTATTCAGTTACAGTTACTGTTTCAGTGAGTGGTAATTGGATTACAGTTACTTTGTTGAAATAAATGGATTACACAGAGGGATTTTAACTGTTTTCACATTTTGGGCTAAAACCAGGACTAAACCAGGTCTAAAAAAAGGACTAAACCAGGTCTCAGGTCTAAACCAGGTCTAAACCAGGTCTAAACCAGGAAACCAGGTCTAAACCAGGTCTAAACCAGGTCCAAACCAGGTCTAAACCAGGTCTAAACCAGGTCTAAAACCAGGTCTAAACCAGGTCTAAACCAGGTCTAAACCAGGTCTAAACCAGGTCTAAACCAGGACTAAACCAGGTCTAAAACTAAATATTGAAGAGTTCATTTTGGACCCATGAGCCAAAGAGCACAGACCTGAAAACAACACGACGCCTCTTGGGTTCAGCTTCAGATTTGATTCTAGTTCTATGAGTTAAACTCATAGAATAGAATCAAACCTGGCCTCCCGCCCGTGTGACGTCTGCGCGGCGTGGAGCGTTTGGACCAATCAGAGCGAGAGCTGTTAGAGCGGCTCAGAGCGACGACGCTCAGTCTGACAAAGATCACTTTTAGACGCTTTGAGGATTTAAACATTTTTTAAAAGTTTATGTTGTGAAAACAGAAAAGAATCCTACAAAATTCAGCCTTTGTGAAAGCCGGACGCTCTGTCAGAACACGGGCAGCTTGAATTCCCAAAAAATTATTGTGCTTCTGTGGGAAAATTCTTTCTGGGCCCAAACTCCTGGAGCTGCAGTACCTCGAGTGACCACTAGTCTGTCCAGTTTTTATTCTAGATCCGTGTTTGTAACTCTCGCGGGACTTAGACGAGCGCTGAGTCTCGTTCTGTCCCTGTACGAGTCGGCGCCCCCCGCAGGTCTGTTTTTAAAAGTGCGCAGTAACAGTGAGCGCCCTCTGACCCGGTGTCACCCGCCCAGACTCCCGTGGGTGCAGCTGTAAAAACTGTAAAACAAACACCGCCCCGTCTGAGCGTGTCCAGGCTTTAGGTCAGACGGACTCGCCTCGATTCTTCTACATCTGATTTTAAATATTTGCCAAAGGTTTGAGAATTCCTTTTCACTTCCAGTTCCGATCCACAGTCGCAGATAAAACAAAACTCAAATCTACAGTGACTTTTACATGTTAAACTATTTTTAAAAAGTGAAATAAACAGTTTCATGTTTGAGAAAAGACTTCACTGCAAATTTCTCCAGTCAAGATTTTAAAATTATATCAGGTTATTTATTTTGTTTTCAGATTTATGATCGACTTGGACTCGAGTCAGACTTGAGTCACTATTTTCAGGACTTGAGACGTGATAAAATGGACCAAGACTTTGGACTCGACTCGGACTTGAGGCTCAGTGACTTGAGAAGACTCGATGCTTCTGCTGAAAGAATCCGTGTGTCATTCGTTCATTCGTTTTTAAAATTTAAAAAACAGCATTTTTTTTCATTATTTGTCTCTAAAACCAAAATGAAAAAACAGATAATGATTCGATTTTTCAGTTTTTGATTTTGTGTTTAAATGAAATATGGAAAAAAATATATAATGGACTGAACCAGGACTGAACCAGGTTTAAACCGTTTTCAGTCCTGGTCTGTTCCCAGTCTCATTTCTGGTCTGGTCAGGTCTGGTCTTGGTCTTGGTCCCGGTCTGGTCCCAGTTTCAGTCTCAGTCCTGGTCTGGTCCCGGTCTCAGTACTGGTCTCAGTCTTGATCTCTGTCCTAGTCCTGTTC